GGTCATCTCCTGAATCGCCGGCGCATGAACTTCCAATCGCGTGTATCCACAGCCACCGTGCACGAACTCCTCTTCGCCGACGACTGTGCCCTGAACACCACCTCAGAAGTGGAGATGCAACGGAGCATGGACCTATTCTCCGCCGCCTGCGTGAACTTGGGGCTGGTTATCAACACGCAGAAGACGGTGGTGATGCATCAGCCGCCTCCCAGCTCAGCCACAGCCCCCAACGCGCCGCAAATCAACGTGAATGGGACTCAACTGCAAGTGGTAGAGAACTTCCCGTACCTGGGCAGCACGCTCTCCCGCAACACCAAGATCGACGACGAAGTCGCCAACAGGATCTCGAAAGCCAGTCAAGCCTTCGGTCGCCTCCAAAGCACAGTTTGGAATCGTCATGGTCTCCAACTGAGCACAAAGCTGAAGATGTACAAGGCCGTCATCCTGCCGACGCTACTGTACGGAGCGGAGACCTGAACGGTGTACACGAGGCAGGCACGTCGACTAAACCACTTCCACCTCAGCTGTCTCCGCCGCATCCTGAGGCTGAACTGGCAGGACCTCATCCCCGACACGGAAGTACTGGAACGGACGGGAATTCTGAGCATCTACTCCATGTTGAGACAAATGCAGCTGCGCTGGAGCGGCCATCTGGTGCGCATGGTCGACGAGCGACTACCCAAACGACTCTTCTACGGAGACGTCGCGACGGGTTCTCGTCGTCAAGGAGGCCAAATTCGCCGTTACAAAGATACTCTGAAGTCCTCCCTGAGGCGCCTGCACATCAACCCGACCAACTGGGAAGAGCTCGCCCGCGATCGTCCGACATGGAGGAGAACAGTGAAGACGGGCGCTGCTATCTACGAAGCCAACCGCATCGCCGCCGCCAAAGTCAAACGCGAAGTCCGCAAATCACAACTTCGCCCAACACGCAACGCCGCCGCACAACCTCTCCCTACGTGTCCTCGATGTCAACGGACATTCCGGGCACGAATCGGACTTGTTGGGCATCTTCGAACCAACTGCATCTCTCGAACTGCTCCAGCCATCGTCCCCGCGCCCGCCTCTTCCTCGTCCTCTCTTCCGCCAACTAACTCTGACACTCCTTCTGCACCACCACTTCCATCCTCCTCCTTCTCCTCCACTGCCCCAGCGGTGGCCGTTCAGGCTGCCGTCTCACACATCGCCAACCACGACACAGCAACCGCAACCACCCCCACCTGCCCTCACTGCGACCGCACCTTCACCTCACACAACGGCCTGGTCGGTCACTTGCGAATCCATCGCACAGAGACTGGTGAACCAGTGCCTGGAGCACCAACCTACACCCACCGCACTCGCCTCCACTGCCCACAATGCCTTTGCACCTTCCGGCATCGCATGGGCCTATTCGGCCACATGCGCATCCACGAGAGCGGAATTGACTGCAGCCTTGACACTCCCACCCCGCCGAGCCCCACTCCCAATCCATCCCCTTGTGCACCCACTAACCACTCCCCAGCCGACATCGACGCCACCGGCCTTACCACCCCTCACTCCCCCGCTTCCTCCTCCACCTCCTCCTTCAATGCCACAACGACGGCCACTCCGGCGTCTGTAGCGCACGACTTCACCACAGCCGCACCTGACACAACAACAGACACAACCCCTGCAACCTCCATCAACAGATGTGAGGGCCCGGACTACATCTGCCCTCACTGCGATCGCACCTTCACTTCACGCATCGGCCTGGTCGGTCACTTGCGAATCCATCGCACAGAGTCTGGCGAACCAGTGCCTGGAGCACCAACCTACACTCACCGCACTCGCCTCCACTGCCTCCACTGCCCACACTGCCCTCGCACCTTCACGCATCGCATGGGTCTATTCGGCCACATGCGCATCCACGAGAGCGGCATTGACCGCAATTCCGATACAGCCACGACATCCAACACATCCACCACGCCCAGACCCAACCTCGCTCCACCGTCACACGCGCCGACCACCACCACCGCCACCACCAACACCACGGCTTCCTCTACAGCTGACACCGATACCGCCGACCTCTCATGCCCACGTTGTCCACGCACCTTCACCTCACGCATCGACCTGGTCGGTCACTTGCGAATCCATCGCACAGAGACTGGCGAACCAGTGCCTGGAGCACCAACCTACACCCACCGCACTCGCCTCCACTGCCCACACTGCCCTCGCACCTTCACGCATCGCATGGGTCTATTCGGCCACATGCGCATCCACAACGACCTGCGGTAGACAACCGCCGGTCACACCACACATTCCCTCACCTCCTACCTCCTAACATCATTACCCCACTAGACGTCAACCCTCACACACCTCATGCACTCAACTGCCGCCTCCCACGCAAGTGGGAAGTGTGCATCTCGACTCGGTCCCCATGCGGCCTCGGCTGCACGAGTGACTTGAGTCCGAGACTATCCCGACACGTCAAGCGTCGTGGATAGGAAGGTTACTGATTGAGGCCCGCTCTCGGTTCACGCAGTTCGTCACGTTGTGTGTGTGTGTTGTGTAGTGGCGGACTGGTGGGCTGGGACGGGCTGAAGCAGCACCTTCCACGGTCCTCTCACGCATGTTAGAGACACGCCGTTCAACCCCCGTTATGTGAAATCCTGGTGTTTGTGTGTATGGGGGGCCAGGTCGTGCTGTGGCGCGCGCAGGCATGGTCAGTCGACCATGTCAGCCACCGCGCCCATTCCCCACTCCAGTCTACTGACCGGCTCGGACAGTGGCTGGGGTGTGGGAATGGGAAGGGAGAGTGAGGTCGACGACTCAGCGCACTCTCTCCTCACTATAAACAATCTGACGCGCTTGAAGCTATCACGGTGCGCTAAAAGCCGTGGCTTGGAAGGTTGCCAACTGACGGGGTACCTTGGACCTCCTCCATTACTGGAGGCGGTCTGAGAGTCAGGCTGCAATGGCTCCTTTTTAATGTGGCCTTTATGGCATTCCCACCACAGTGTGGGATCCGAGCCAGGCGTTGGCGGCACGCCCAGGTGCGGCTTCGGCCGTGCCAGCCTCCAAATCTATGTTGTGTTGGTTCAAATCCTGGTTATTGTTGTGTGGACCAGGGGGTGTGGTAGAACGCCAAGGTGAGGATCCGTCCGAGCCATCCACCTGCGGCCTCCCTCGTCTCCGGTCTTCTTGACTCTGTCTAGACACCGGGCTCAGGCGGGGGAGGAGGAGAGAGTGTAGGTAGATGCTACGCAAGTCTACCGGCATTATAAACCCCTGCGTAAGTCACCGTCCCTGCTCCCACCATCTGCTGTGAGGCATACGGTGGACATCGTCGGATGCGACGGTCGAACTGTCGTGTGTGTGTGTGTCACGAATAAAAGGTCTGAAAGTGTGTGCTATGTCAGTATCAGCAAACCATGACCCTGGTAGCCTATTATGCGCTGACAGTTCCGTGGCACCTGGTTACCTGCTGGTAGATGCGCTTGCGCTCCCGCTGGATATACAGTGGGTGGGCATAGCTGTCCAGTCATCATTCTCGCCCTCCTGACCCCTGTTTTATATTGTTGTTCTTGTTGGTGGAAAATCCTCGTCAAGTGTATGTTGTGGATGAGATATCTGGATCCATCTTAGGATTGAGTGCCCGGCCTTAGAACGCCTTGACATAGCTTTTATTGCATCCTGAGCTACGTGAGATCCCAGCCGACCCTACAATGATCTGGTGATTATGGAGTCGCAAGCCCTATGCATGTGTGTCACACGTAGGCGGTCTGCTTGGCATTTTCGCCCTCTGTGTCCAATCCCGGCTCCGGTTGCTTTGACATCGTATTGCCATCTGGGGTATTTTAGGTAGTGATGGCCAAACGTATCTTTAGATAAAATTGCACGTAGCGGATTCTCCCAACGGTCAGTGAACGCTGGTCCTAAATAATAACAATTAAAAATGACAGCCGACTTGGTTGCTTCGACATTGTCATCCTTGTGGCGAGGTACCTGACTAATTTACCTTTGACAATTTTGTCCCATTTTCTTTGACCGCATTGCTTGTTTGAATGTGACGAGAAACGACACACCTACACAACCCGCATTGCTAGCGTGCTCTGCTGTGGTATTCTGTTGTCCGTTTTCTTAACCTTTAAAAATCTCTATATCATTCACTGTTCCGATTTACTTGCTGCATTTAAGGCTAGGGGCTCGTGAGATATAACTCGCTAGTTCATGAGAACATTGCAATTTACAACATTGGTGACTCCCGACGTTAGCTCAGACTTAAGTTCTTTCCTTCTGTAACATTTAATGACATTTAACGTCCTATATCTATTTGCTAAATTTTAGTTCATTTACATTTCCCGCTAACCTTTTCACGATATTGTGCTACCTATATTTTGCTTATTATGTCTTCCTAAACTCAACAACCTGACGTTCCTGCCGAGTTTGTTCATGCCCTCCATTTCACTTTGCCTGGTTTCTAGCAACACGCCCCTGAACTTTATTTTATCCGCATTGAGTCAGCCTTTTACTCCGCCAACATTACGAAGGAGTTGTCGAAATACCACAAACTCCTGGAGGTTCTCCCTGCCAATATTATCTCACAAGTTTAACCCTTGTTAGTGAAACCCCCTGCAGACGCTCCTTATTCTGCTCTGAAGGCGGAAATCCTTCGTCTCAATGCTGTATCTGACCGACAACGCTACCACCAGTTGATCAAGGCGGAATCACTGGGCGACCGAAAGCCCTCAGAACTTCTCCGACTAATGCGTGCTCTCTTAGGAGACATGCAGGCCGACGAGAAACTCGTTAAAGAGATGTTTCTAGAGCGGCTGCCTGCAGATGTCCAAACGATTTTGGCATCCGGCTCGCAAGACCTTACACTTTCACATCTTTCTGAAATGGCACACCGAATGATAGAGTTTCAACGGTTCCAGCCACCTTCCGTTGCTCAGATTTCCACATCCTCTTCAACGGTTAACGAGCAGTTACTGCAACAGATGTCGGCTATGGCGAATGAGATAGCCTCCCTAAAACTACAGCTTGCTCGCATTACCTATAGTCGCTCACCCAGCCGTCATCGTTCACTTTCGCGACCTCGCACAGCCAATTTGTGTTGGTATCACGCAAACTTTGCCGCCAAGGCTCGCAAATATTTTTCCCCTTGTTCATTTAAACCGAAACAGGGAAACCAGCCAGCCAGAGAATAGACGCGACCGTTTTCTCTGGCTCTCCCAGCTCTGGTCGCACCTTTTATGTCTGCGACAAAGTGACTCGCAGGCGCTTCCTGATGGACACCGGAGCCCAGATCAGCGTGGTTCCCCCACTCCAGTTGACCGCCACTGTCCCAGCCCTGATCTACATCTCCAAGCTGCAACCTGTTCCCCCATTTCCACTTTTGGTTGTTGTTCCCTAACGCTAAACATTGGTTTACGTCGATCATTCTCCTGGATATTTGTGATTGCCGATGTGCCTCATGCGATCCTTGGTTCCGACTTCCTAGCCGAGTTTGATCTCCTTGTTGACTGTCGGCGTTCCTGTCTCCTCGACCGCACAACTGGTCTTTCTGTCCGCGGTCTTACACCCTTTAATGACTCCTGCAATTTATCTGTTCTGGACACAGGTATTGCTTGCCCATACCGAGACCTGCTCCTCCAACACCCCAACATAATCAAACCCCAGTTTCGCAGTGGTGAGATCCAGCATGGCGTTGTCCACCACATTCGAACCTCTGGCCCCCCAGTATTCGCACGGCCTAGACGACTGGCTCCGTCCCGTCTGCAAGCGGCGAAGGCCGAATTTGAGCACATGCTGCAACTGGGCATAATTCGCCCGTCCGAGAATCCATGGGCGTCCCCTCTGCATATGGTGCCCAAGGCGACATCAGACGACTGGCGGCCCTGTGGTGACTATTGCGCCCTCAACAATGCGACCATCCCGGATCGTTATCCCGTCCCTCATGTTTAAGATTTTTCTGGAGCTCTTTTCGGCAAATCGGTTTTCTCGAAGAATGACCTTGTTCGGGCCTTCCACCAGATTCCTGTCGCTCCTGAGGATGTTCCCAAAACTGCCGTCACCACACCATTCGGCCTGTTCGAATTTATTCGCATGCCATTTGGTCTTCGCAATGTTACCCACACATTTCAGAGGTCCATTGACCGAGTCCTACGTGGTCTCCCGTTTGTGTACGCCTACATCGATGACCTCTTGGTGGCCAGTCGAAATGCCGAGGAACACAAAGAGCATCTTGCTTTAGTGTTTGACCGCCTCGATCAGTTTGGCGTGGTCATTAACCCTTCGAAATGTGTTCTGGGTGTGCCGTCCCTTGATTATCTTGGTCACCATGTCGATGCACAAGGTTTGCGTCCCCTCTCTTCCAAGGTTGAGGCCATTCGTGACTTTCCTCCACCAACCTCTAAGCGTCAGTTTCAACGTTTACTTGGCATGGTAAACTTTTATCGCCGGTTCCTACCGAACTGTGCCGACCTTATGCTGCCACTCACCAACTTGCTCTCTGGTCCCAAGGGTCCCCTTGAGCTACGTGGCCACGCGCTGACTGCTTTTGAGAGAATAAAGACCTCCCTTGCTGATGCTACCTTGCTCACTCATCCTGCTCCAGAAGCCCCATTGTCCCTGATGGTTGATGCCTCGACCGTTGCCGTAGGAGCAGTCCTCCAACAGCATATCAACAACTCGACACGACCGTTGGCATTCTTCTTTAAGAAGCTTTCACCTGCCGAGACGAGATATAGCACGTTTGGCCGTGAACTTCTTGCCATTTACCTAGCCGTAAAACATTTCCGACACTTCCTTGAGGGTCGTGACTTCACCATTTTCACAGACCACAAACCACTTACATTCACCATCCGATCCCATTCTGACAAATATAACCCGAGAGAGATTTCTCATTTGGATTACATCTCGCAATTCACCACCGACATCCGCCACATTGATGGGCCGAAGAATGCGGTGGCCGACATGCTGTCCAGACCTTCCCTCTCGGCGTTTCACCTCTCACACGGGATTGATCTTGGTGCTATGGCGGCTGAACAACGACGTGTTGGATGCCCTGGCGACGAGTCTGTTGACAGTCTTCAATTAGTTGACGTCCCATTGACCACCGGCACTGGCACAAGCCTTTGTGACGTATCGACTCCTTGTCATTGCCCTTATGTGCCTGCCTCGATGCGTCGAGCTGTTTTTCAAACTCTCCACGGACTCTCCCATCCTGGGATCCGAGCCTCTCAAAAGCTCCTCGCGGAAAGGTTCGTATGGTCTGGGATGAACAAGGACGTCAAAGCTTGGGCCCGGTCGTGTCTGAGCTGCCAGCGCAACAAGGTGCAGCGTCACAACAAGTCCCCACCAGGCACTTTCCCCAGTCCCGACGCACGGTTCAGCCATGTGCATCTGGATGTCGAGGGCCCCTTGCCTCCATCCAATGGTTTCACCTACCTCCTTACCTGTGTCGATCGATACACTCGCTGGGCTATAGCTATTCCTTTGCCTAATGTTCAGGCTGAAACCATCGTGAAAGCATTCGTCAGTCGTTGGGTCGCCATGTTTGGTGCCCCATCCACGGTTACGACTGATCGTGATGCCCAGTTTGAGTCGGCACTCCTCCAAACGCTACCCAATTTCCTTGGCTGCACACGCATTCGGACGACAGCCTACCACCCCGCTGCCAACGGTATGGTGGAGCGTTTCCATCGCCAGCTAAAGACCGCCCTGCGTACCGTCGAAGACCCAGGAAACTGGTCGGACAACCTTCCTCTTGCACTCCTCGGCATCCGCGCAGTTCTGAAGTCGGATCTCGGCTGTAGCGCAGCTGAATTGGTTTTCGGCACTACCCTCCGACTGCCAGGCGAGATGATCACCCCAACCTCTCGTGGAGCCGACGAGACTCCTGACAATCTTGTGCACCGTTTGCGGCAATTTATGCGTTCGCTTTCCCCGGTTCCACCTCGAGCTCCAATGACTGAGTCTTATGTCGAAAGAGATTTGGACAACTGTACTCATGTGTTTGTCCGGTGTGACCGTGTGCGCCAGCCGCTGGAATCACCATACGAAGGACCGTTCCGCGTGCTCGTGCGCAGCACCAAGACCTTCCGGATCCTTCGCAGTGACAAGGAGGACGTGGTCAGTGTCGATCGGGTCAAGGCTGCGGTTGCAGAGGAGCAGCCCGGCCGGTCAAAAGGACAAAAATGTGCTGACCCCACAACCCCTGTACCTTCATCTTCCCTATCCCCTGCTCATTCACCCTGCCCACTACCTTGCCCTTCCCCTCCCTTGCCCTCCACCCCTCCGTCCCGCATACTTCCTCTCCCTACATGTCAACAGCATCCAATTGCAACACCATCGTCCACCACAGCACGCAGTCAACCTTCTTCGGCTGTACCTCCTGCATACATAACTCGCAGTGGCCGTCACGTTCAATTTCCCGATCGTTTAGTTACCCATTTTTTCTAGACTTGTGCATATCCTCCGGCGCCGCATCCCGTCGCCCTCTGGTCTAGAAGGGGGGGTACTATGGTGAGGTAACTGACTAATTTACCTTTGACAATTTAGTCCCATTTTCTTTGACCGCATTGCTTGTTTGAATGTGACGAGAAACGACACACCTACACAACCCGCCTTGCTAGCGTGCTCTGCTGTGGTATTCTGTTGTCCGTTTTCTTAACCTTCAAAAATCTCTATATCATTCACTGTTCCGATTTACTTGCTGCATTTAAGGCTAGGGGCTCGTGAGATATAACTCGTTAGCTCGTGAGAACATTACAAATTACAACATCCTAACCTGCCTTCCCAAGATAACTCCAGTTGAAAACTAATCACTCCCTTGTCTTCAAGGGTATGCACTGTAGCATATGCAGGCGAATGGACAAGACACAAACATCTGACAATATCTTAGTTAGTCAAAAAACAACGGTGGGTTAAGCAGCCAAAATGAGTAAACGACAAATTAGAATACGCGCAATTTTGGTAGAAGAAAATAGCGGATTAGGTGGGTTGACCAGCCCCAATCCCAACCCCCTTCCCCACCACGATGGTGGCAAGAGCGATGATGATCGTGGCAGCAGCGACGACAAACAACATCCGTGGTGGTGATGGCAACCGCAGCCACCCCACCAATCGCCACCACAGGCTGGAGACACTGCACCCTCGTCCTCCTTCGCACACTATTCCGCTTGCGCCACCTTATACAGATCCTCCTCTGGTTCCACCTTCATCGCGGTGACCAGCCTCCTCTACCTCTCTCTTCCGTCTGCCAACTTCTTTCAACCGGTCGCTTCTCTAAGTGTTTCCGTACAGAATGCAGCATCCTCTCAGTGAAGGACCTGATGGTCGTAGTCAGTTAGGTCCTCACAGACTTATAGCTGCTGCGGCACGATTGCCAGTCTCCGCCGCGGAAATACTGACTCCTATGTAACCTGCACATTCCCTGATCACTTGCAAAGATAGCATGTACATTTGGCAGGGGGCATATGGCGTTGTGGACAGCCGAACGTGCGAAAAGACCGTGTGCCCTGCAGCAGCAGCAGCATGTAGAATTCAGAATTTGTATAAGTAGACGAGTAAACAAGTCATGCCTACTTACTTCCACTATGTTTACTCACATTAACCAGTAATACAAAGGAAAGTGAAGTACGTAGGTAAAGTGCGTTGACTCCTTCTATGCAGACTGCCAGTCTGTTCTGAGAATTAGAGACATTCTGGAGGGAAGATGGATCCGATGACAGCCATGTCGTCGTGGTCGTGATCGTGGTCGTCGTAGTGAGCAGCATTGTTGCATAGTACTCACCATCCTCCACCTCCCCTCTGGTCACTTTCAGGCTAACTAGCATAATAGTCTACTCGGTGGATACCGCTGGGATGGGCCAAGAGCACTAGGTGACAAATCGTTTTCATACCGCTGCCAGTGATCCTTGTATCGAGGAGGACTGACTCATTCATCACAATGGCTCAACAGTCCTTGCTACTTCTCGACAAACGATGCAATAGTCAACGACGCTACCTCATCCAACAAGACAGACATTTGTACCGCAAAGTCTTGCAATGGAGGCGTTCTTCAGTGCAAGCCAGCATCGTTAGAACCCCCAGAAAGGGATTAAATCCTCACTCGCAATGATAGACACTGACTAGATATTGAAGAAGAGAACACGTAGTTAATGGGTCAGTTAAGGATTTATTGTCGTAATTCACAGACATTGGTCATGCATATTTACCAACCCCAACCCCAACCATGATGATGGTGGCAACAGTGGTGGTGATGGTGGCAGCAGCGACGCCAACAACAACCGTGGTGATGGTGATGACAGCCACAGCCACCCCACCAACCGCCGCCGCCGCAGGCTGGAGACACTGCACCCTCGTCCTCCACCTTCGCACTCACCTCCCCCTCTGGTTCCTCCTCGTCCTTCCTAACCGTTTTCGTCAGGGTCATCTCCGTCAGGGCTGCCAACACCAGCAATGTGAGAAGCAGTTTCATTGTCTTAGGTTGAGATGCTGTAGAAGAGCTGACGACTCAACCACACGCACCACTAGCCTTCCTTTTATAGCTGGGTGCGGAGGAAGAATTTATGGGTTTGTTTGGCACTGCGCTACAGGAATGCCTTTTGTTACTTGGTAGTAAGCGAACCTGTGAGTAAACAAGGCGAGTGTTGCTGTTGTTGCTGTTGGCTTAGCTGATTTTGGCGTACGGTAGATGATTGGGGTGCTGAGAATACTCGATGGCTGACAATGTGGACGGATGGTTGGTTTTCGTTGTGGTGCTAACAACTGGTCATTGCACTATTTTTGCTTTTCACATTCCGGCCATTTTTCTCGCGATCAAGAGAGACGGGCGTGTACATTTTATAGGTTAGTGATCGCTGTTAATCAACTTTAACCAATTTCAGGTTTCGGAAGACCTGTGACTTAAACCCATGGTCTTTTTATTTCTACATACTTACCACTAATCAGTGGACTCCTTATTATATCGCCTTCCATCGGGCATGCAGCTGTAGCAGATGAATTCTGAATCTAATCCGAAATCAGATGGGGACATATATGTCCCGTAACGCAATCAGTGAGCGCACATCTACAGAGCAGTCAGCCCCTAACTTGGTTGTAAGGGCATTAGACTAATGATCATAAGAGTGCGGGTTGGAATCTCAGTAGGTCCCGGTCCTGGGATTGACTGAGACTGGCAGACGACAAAGACGGCTAGAACACGGGTTAGGCCTTGCAATAGAACTTGGGAAGCTTCATTCATCTGCAGCAGTCTGTGTACATATCCTTGCTATGCAAAGATCCCCGCCAAAAAACTCACTGTGAAGGCGATGAAGAAGAATTGTGATGAGTGTGTCAGATCCTCATAATTCCAACGATATGTTTCAATATTTAACATAGACTGAATAGGCTACAAACAAAACGAATATTCAATCCGTGCAGTAGGAAACAGCGAGTGCAGAGAGCTCACACCGGGCTCCATACCGCCAGAGCTACTGGAGGTAAGTGCTCGAGAACCTGACTCTTCCTCACACGTCGCCGAGCCACACAAAGGCATTCAGTGACGAATAGTGATAGCTTCACTTAGAGACGGCCCCTTGATAGATTTCCACATGGCAGATTCTCAAAATTCAGTGAACTGCGGCTCTGCGCATCAAAATCTCAGGTGGGTGGTCGACTGTTACGCTATGATGTTCTCATCTTAGTCTTCACCTCCATAAAAACATCAGGTTGATAAGTATTCATTTCTTTGGCTCCACGGATTTGCCCTGTAGCAGATAATGTGACAGGGCACAAATAAGTGCTAACATCTTTAATCAGAAGAATGCAACGGTGGTTTAAACAACAAAACATAACGTAGATTGGAAAGCCATTATTTATTGGTAGAAAGAAGTGGTGGATAGTACGTTATTACCAGACTCAACCCCAACTCTAGTCCCCGCTATGATGGTGGCAACAGTGATGATGATAGCGCCAGCAACATCGGTAATAATGATGCTGGTGGTGGTCTTGGTGTTGGTGTTGGTGGTGGTGGCGGTGGTGGTGGTGGTGGTGGTGGTGGTGATGTTGATGGCAACCCCAGCCACCTCACTAAACGCCGTATTTTGTAGACTCTACAACCTCGTTTTGTTTTGCACCTACGCTGTCTTTTGAGAATCTGCCGTATCTTCAGGCCAACTAAACCTTCATGGATGCGAAATAATTGGCATGCAAGTGGTATGCACGTAAGTAGCCTGGTTGTACTTTTTGAAAATTTGACCCAAAACAGGGCGAACTGCACTGATCCCATGCATAAACTTCTAAGCAACGGCGTCAGTTGTAGGGGCATTAGACTACTAACTATACGAGCGCGGGTTGGAATCTCAGTAGGTTTCTGTCCTGGGATTGACTGCGGCTGGTTGACGGTCAAAAATGGTCCTCGCACTCTCCCTTGAAGGCTGTCGAAACAGTTCCTGTCGGTATATGCGACACAAGTCGGCCTCACGACAAACGCACCGTTCACCGGTGATGGGTCCTCTCCGAAAAGCACACAGAGAACATCGTCGGCAGCGCCGAGAGCGCTGTCATCCCAAATCTGTTTTGTAAAAAGTCTTTCAGGCGACCTACGCCTTCCGTTTCCAAAGACGGCTTAATCGAAGCTCATGGGTAGTGTTCAGGGAAAGCCCTTAAGTTGCTACCCGTGACTAGTTTGCCTTATAGCTATTAGCTTACAGTGAGTTACCTAACTCATGAAATGCAGGCTGAAATTCTGAAATGCGTTTTCGATTAGGAAGGATAACTTGGTCGCGGTTGTAATACTGACTATCTGGCGGCAAACTCTTATAACATTTCGGACTTGGCAGGATGTCGGCTTTTAAATGCACTTCCTTTCAATTGCCTGTAGAAAGCGTACTTCGTAAAAAAACGAATACTTAAGCAGCATGCAGTTTTCCCATTGATTTTCGATGGTCTTGCAAATTCAAAGATATTTTATAGGAACCATTAATAAAAATATGCTTTATTTTAATCAATCAATAATGAATCACGTCTTCTTCATATGACATACTTAAGAAATGAGTATAATTAAGTTTTAAACAAGTTTCTAATTACGAGACTTTTTAAGACCGCGATATGTCCATTCACATAGCATCGCACCTGGCCGTTTGTCACTGCTCCTCATGAAATGTACAACATGGTCCGTATCCATTGCAAAATTTTATGGACCCTGTATGATATCTCTTTAATGCCATAGAAAAATATGTGATTTCCTTTACGCGGAAAGCATGCACCTTGCAGACTGAAATTACTAAGCGCTAACGCAACGAATGATCAGCCTCCAAATTATTTGGCAATTAGAAAACTTTTTTAAAACCTAATTATACTCCTTTCTTAAGTATAAAATATTAAGAAGACGTGATTCTTTATTGATTGATTAAAAGAAAGCATATTTTTATTTATGGTTTCTATAAAATATCTTTGAATTGGCAAGATCATCGAAAATCAATGGGAAAAATGCATGCTACTTAAGTTGTCATTTTTTACGAAGTACGCTTTCTAAGGGCAATTGAAAAAGAAGAACATTTAAAAGCCGACATCCTTCCAAGTCTGACATGTTATAATAGTATGCCGCAAGATAGTCAGTATCACATCCGCGACCAAGTAATCCTTCCTAATCGAAAACGCATTTCAGAATTTCAGCTAACATTTCATGAGATAGGTCACTCACTGTATAGTCTGAAATACAACTGCAGGCATTCAATTTCAAGTCAACGAGGGACAAATAGACGCCCCTGCAAGCATTGCCGTGTCGACTTGCTCCCGCGCTTTCTGCCATGGGAGCGATCAATCACAAATCACGTTTAGCGGACATGTGTTACTATAGCACGTATGATGAAGATAGACGGTGCTTTTCCATATACTAATTATGACCGTTTGCCCTGTGCTTTAAAAGAATCCACTCCTGTATTGCACATTAAAAGTCATTCCATGTAAATTGCTTTCTCAGTGTGTATTTCTCCTCATGCATTTAAATGATGTGGCATTCATCTTTGTAATCTGGACTTAAAAATGCGATTCAAGCAAACGTATTAAATTCTCCGTCCCATAGGCTGCTTATGGCTTTCCAACTGCACTCATGGGATAATGTTGCATGCTAGTTGGAATAAGAGCTCGGCTTAAGCATACATCAGAAAGTTCATATACATTCAGGTGCTTAAGGGAATGTTTCGGATAATCGACGCCTGACTCGCAAGCTCACGGCGCCTCATACAATCAGCAGCGCCAACAAACCCCTTATTGGTGATGACGCTGATGCTGATTCTGCTGCTAATGATGATTATGATGATGAGGGTGGTGGTGGTGATGACGATGATGATGATGATGATGATGAGAGCCGCCATGTCTGCTGCAAAGTCTGGATCGACCAAATCTGATACAGCAAGCTGACTGATCAAGCAGCATATCCTGAGTAATGCATTTAGAATCCACCAGATGACTATTAGGTTCCCGTTGTGGCAGATTTCAAATGATTCATTTTGTCCAAAAGTGTCCAAATGATTTTATACAGCATTGTTGTCTATATTTTTCCTATAGTTGTGGTACGGAATCCACTTTTGCCAATTTACGATGTGTTGGCGTTTTTCTCTGCAAGGTGCAGTGTGATCTTGTTTGAAAGTGTTTTATTCTGTTACACGGAAAACTACAATGCGTAAATGAATATATGACTGCCTGCAATATGCTCTTAAATTCCTCTTTTACTCTGGTATGAAGACTGCTGAAACAGTTCCTGTCGGCCGTCAACTCGGGTGCTTATGAAAATTAGCAGCCAAAGGGCTGTCGCTTGTGCCGTTAACCAGGATTCCCAGTCTTGTTCAGGTCATATTATGGCAATTTTTTTCGTCATACACTATGAATATATTAGGTCTCAAATAGTTGGCCAGTGATCTATTTGATTTCTGAATCGTTTGCTTATTTCATGGTTACTCAGTAAAGAAACATGTTTGGATGCTGTTGCTGTTAGTGAAAAATCCTGGTCAATAGAAACGAAGAGACGAGTCCCAGGAAGTAGTCTTGAAGTAGTCTTTTGTCTCTGATGATGGCTTCGAGTAGGAATCCGAAACGTCAGGCTAATAAAGCTCTTGTCCCGGCGATCTTGTCTCCTTTTTCAAAATCCTGGTCAAGTGTTTCTTGTGGACCAGGGGCGGTGGCGACATGTGGAACCGGCCGTGCCAGCCACCTGCGCCCTCACCCACCTCCGGTCTTCCTGACTCTGTCTTGGCAGCGGTGTGGAGTGGGGAAGGGCAAGTGCGTAAGATGCTTCGCAAGTCTACTATGACTATAAACTAGTGCACACGCAAGTCACCGTGCCTGCTGCACCTAGATGTGCAAAACACGGTGTGAATAGTCGGAGTGGACGGTCAAACTGTCGTGTTGGAGAAGGAGACACGATCGCTGGGATAAGAGCTTTATTAGCCTGACGTTTTGGATTCCTACTCGAACCCACCATCAGAGACAAAAGCATATACGGATGGTTCAAGCACAAGGGACTGCAGTATTTACAGGATGCAGTCGCCATGCTACCGCATACCTATGAACATTCGCGGCTCTCTCCTTTAGCAGGAATTGTTGCACTTGGTATGACGAATGTTTGATGGCCGGCATTCGCGTCGTGAATTGATGCAATTTCCTCGCGTGTTTTGGATGTTGGTGTGATGATTGCTCGACCATCTGACGCATCGACCCTGGTGTTGGGAAAAGTGTTTACCTGTGCGCTCTCCGCATGGCTAATTACCCCGCCTAAGCGGAGATTCAGCCCTAGCAAGTTCATTGCACTTGCTAGTGGACTAGGATCCCGTAAACCATGAATCAAGCAGCTCCCGGCTCACGCGACTGTCACCTATGGCAACTCCAGACGTTTCTAGCCGTGGCAGTGGTTCTTTCGGTTTCATTAACTGACGCCTGATGGTTGCCTCCGGTCTGTGTGCAACTACAACCCCAAGTGGTGCGAGAAGGCGGCCGACAGCTTCTGAACCGTTCTTCACATACGGAAGCGCTCGCCAAAATTTGTTGTCCATACGGTTATGCCTTTCGTTGGTTTTCCGCATGCACCGTCGACAAAGTTGCGCAGGTAGTCATTGGATTTGAAGACCCGTCGGAGATATTATAGTTCGGCAATCTTATCTTGCGGCTCACCGCATTGCGTTTCGACAGGCCGATAGAGCGTCCTTACACAACAGCGTTTGTGGCTGATTGGGTGGTTGCTGTTGAAGTTCAGTACTTGCATCGGATGTGTTTCTTTCCTGAACACTTTGGTCTTTAGTCTACCACAATCTTTGCTGCATACGAAGACATTCAGGAAAGCCAACTGGTTGTTCTCTTCCTCCTCCATCATAAATTCGGGAAGACCGCATTCAGATGTTCCTTTAATGTCAGCAGTTGATCGTCGTGCTTCACGTGCAAACTGTCAATTTAGCACTTTCATCCACTGCGCCCGAGCCCGGCCCCCGTTGCCCTGACATTCTCCTGTCATCTGAGTGGTTCGAATGAGGAATAGAGACAGAATACGGTGGATGTTGCATGCTAGCATGACTTTCCCTTAATGCTGTAGAGGTACGCTCGCTGAGTGGAACTTACGGGACATATGCGTCCCCTTCTGATTTGAGACTCCATTCAAAATACATCTCACATAGCCGATCGAAGGCGACAGCACAAGGAGTCAGTCCATTGATCAGTGGTAAGCGCGTAGGAATAAAAAAAATCAAAAGACCGTGCATTGGAGTCACAGGTCTTCCCAAACCTGAAATCTGACTGATGACAGGAAGTAAGCCAGAAATGGCCACGCCGCCCGTCTCCTTTCAGCGTAATAAGTAGTAGCCGGAGTGTCAGTAACCGAAATGATGCAACGGCAAGACTTGGACACCACAATCAAAACCAACCCTCCGTCCACAATACCAGCAGTAAACATCAATATGCTTAATCCTCAAAAAGAAGCCATCGATCATTCTCCCTACTCCAATCATCTATCATACGCCAAAATCAGCTCAGACAGCAACACTCGCCTTGTTTACTCACTTGTTCGCTTACTACCAAGTAACAAAAGGCATTCCTGTAGCGCAGTGCCAAACAAACCCATAAATTCTTCCTCCCTGATCCAGCTATAAAAGGAAGGGTAGTGATGCGTGTGGTTGATTTGTCAGCTAGTCTACAGCATCTCAACCTAAGACAATGAAACTGCTTTTCACATTGCTGGTGTTGGCAGTCCTGGCGCAGATGACCCTGTCGAAAACGGTTAGGAAGGACGAGGAGGAACCAGAGGGGGAGGTGAATGTGAAGGATGATGAGGGTGCAGTGTCTCCAGCCTGTGGCGGCGGTTGGTGGGGTGGTTGTGGATGTCATCACCACCACGGATGTTGTTGGCGTCGCTGTTGTCACCATCACCACCACTGTTGTCACCACCATCATGGTTGGGGTTGGGGTTGGTAAACACGCATAATCCGCCATTTCCTTCTCCTAATAAAGGAGTTGCTGTCTAAGTCTATTCTTGTCTTCTTGCTCACTTATGCGATAGGCCAGTTTAACGCTTCCATAAGCATCAAAATATGCATAAGTCTCACAGCGTTCATCTAACGAACGTAAAATTTCTTACTGGGTCTTTTTGCCTTGAGACTACTTCTTGTTTATTTTGCAAAAGTCTCCTTAGCCTAGGCCGAAGAACCTACTGAATTCATTGTCCTTTTTTGCAGTCATGAGAGTAGTGTCATATATACCCTGCGTGGTACCATTGGGCATATTTAACAGAAAAAATTTGGATGCCAAATCCGGAAGCACAACGCGTCCATCAATCAGAAAGTAAAACAATGGACTTATATCCTGCTCCAAAAATACACTGAATGTGTTCTTCACTCGAAATCTTGGAGTTAAAAATGCACCTATAAAACTGCCAGTAAACCCCGGTGCGAAATTAGGAATCGTCGCTCTGCAACGTGCTTTTGTTCAAGTGAAACAAATACTCACGTTATTAACATCCCCGATTTTAGAAAGCTGGCGGCTTAATCCACAATCAACCTAACTTGCCAGTTCTACTCTGTGCAACAGCGTTTTTCCGGGCTTATCCAGCCTCCATTCGATTAATCTTGACCATGGTCACTAACTGGATCTGGAGGCTTGAACATTCACACGCACACTAGAGCAGACGGTGGCCAGATAGCGCCTATGAGATGAGCCATAAGCACTTCATCGAAGTTATATTAATCAGTACCCCCATCAGCTGACGCGCTCTGTTGCCGCGGACCGTTTGCATTTACTCATAACAGTTTAACCATTGATTTTGACGATGTCAAGTGGGCGCACCAAAGCGGGGTGAGCGCAGGGACAGTGAATTGTACTTGAGTTAATTTAAAGTGACAGGAGACTTTCCTAGTATTTATCACACTCTCTCTTTCTCCCCCACCTGCGTCCGGTTTCAAGTCATAGGCGGGAAGACTAGAGGTGACTGAGGATGCAGTTGGTTTACGCGCCTCGAGCCTGCGCATAGGCGCGCCCCCGCATGCAACTCGAAACACTCGGAGTGATAGTATCATAGAGACCACAGTACGTAGGTGTCATTGAAGCCTCGCACTTAGTCTACCACTTGGCCTCTCCACACAAAAGTACAGTATGATGATTGTGAGGTAAACGTTATCTTGTTAGTCGGCAGTGGCTGGCAGAGCTAGAGAACTCATCCGCACAATACATGCACGACCAGCTCCTCCAAATGCGCACGATAGATTTACACACAAAGGGGTTAGTACACTGGGAGCTCACATGCAGCAGGGAAGCCACACGGGGTGGGGGAAGCTAAAAGCACACTTCTCAATTACCTGAGAGGCGCTGGTGATGTGGGATTTTAGATGAGTTCATGCGTGAGGGGTGTGCGGTGATGTGGTCGTGTTGCAATGATTTATCGCAGGTTTCCATGAGTGCGCATGCGACCTACGAGGCCCATGCGGTGAGTGGGTGTGCATGTGCAGTGTAGGCAGTTGAGACGGATGCGGCGGGTGTATGTAGGTGCTTCAGGCACTGACTCGGCAGTTGCGGGCGCGGTCGTGGAGGTAGCAATTGCAGTTGTCGGGTGGTTGGCGCATTGGGCCCGGAGATGGCCGACAAGGCTAATCCGGGCGCGGAATGTTCGCTGGCATCGCGGACATGTTGGAAGTGGATTTGGTGTCGGTGATCCGGTTTGCGTTGTAGACTGCTGCGCCCGTCTTCCTTGCCTTTCTTCTAGCCGCCTGCCCTGTGCGAGGGCAGCCCGGAGCTCTGGCCGATCGGCAGTCGCTTCAGAGAGCTCATCAAAGTGTTTTTCAGGTGGTTTTTGTCCCATGTGTCGGCGATTAACCGTAGCGATATCTCCGTAGAAGAGTTAACTTGGTAGGCGGGCCCCATCATCTCTGACCAA